TATGAGAGATCTATGGATCATCTCTCAGCCCCATTATGAGACAGAACTGTATAAACAGATTTCTTTTATCTTTATGGATATTTTACAAAATCACTCCCCTTTAACGTATTCTTGTTTTACTGCCATATAGTATTTCCAGGGTCTCAAGTTTTTAACAGAGTTCAGCGCTGAGATTTTGCTAGTGGGTTGCACGCGTCTCAAACAGCCTAGTTTGTTACAAAATTGCGCGCACTTGGTGGGGCAGTACCCTGGAAGAAATCTCTGGGTGAGAAAATCTATGCGTGAGAAATACAAGTTGTGGGTGTGGCGTGTGAATTTCATACCTGTTTTTCATTTCATTCTCTTTTATTGTTTGTATACTATAATGACTATGAAGGTGTACCGCGGAAATAATCTTTTTAATATTTTGTTCTTCTAATCTAACACTCAAGAGTCCTTTAGCTTCCCTAACCCCTCAGTCTGACAGGGAAGGGACTCCCTCCCCTCCAGCTTGTTGTGGAAAAAGCTCCTTATGTCCGTTAGTGCGGCTAGCTAACCAGATGCTAACATCACGTGTCCCCGCTAGCACCGGTCCTCTCTCTCCCTCTCGCCCTCTCCTCCTTCACACTAAATGCGCTATTGCACAACCACCACACACACACAACACACACACACACACACACACACACACACACACACACACACACACACACACACACACACACACACACACACACACACACACACACACACACACACACACACACACACACACACACACAGAGAGAGAGCCGAGCTTGAATGACACAAGCACACGTGTATTTCCATGCAACTCTCTGATTGGTCTGGTGACTTGCCTCTGTTGCATTCACTGAACACGGGAAATTGCATTCCTGCCGTCCTCTCTTGTGTCATGATGGGGTTCACATAAAGCACGGTTAATGTATTATATTATGGAGGTGTCTCAAATATACGTCAATCAAGTGGCACCTGCTAACGGGGTGGTGGATAATATGTTTACATCTAAAAACATATTTCTCAAACATTATTATTTTCGATCGACTGGTTGGTGACCACTGGTCTAGACCATACTTGCCAACCCTCCGGATTTTTGCGGGAGATTCCCGATTTGATTGCCCTCTCCCGGTTTCCTCCAGGGGTCATATTTCTCCCGCATTTCTCCTGATTTCTGACTAAATCAAATTCACTCACGACTATTTCCACTCTGACTTTGATACAGCTATACCATTGTTTGGTTTCCATGGTAGCGTGTCTCTTTAGTAGCGCGCGCAACTGAAAGTCTGAGAGGGTGAGGAAGATAGTCACAGAAAACTGAACAAGAATCGACCCCTCTGCTTACTCCTTTCCTGTAGGCAGGGCCGGCCCTTGGCATAGGCAGTATAGGCAAATGCTAAGGGCGCATCAACCCATCGGGGGCGCCAAAGATTGGGGAGAGAAACAAAAAAAAAAGTTAGAAATTAAAGAATTTCTTTTTTAATTCCATAACAACACAATTTCCCGATTTTGGATCAACAAAGTACATCTTATTATCTTATTCTAACATAACTACGCCTATATTGCGTACAGCGCCCATAAACTATGGCACACCCCCCCCCCCAAATAAAGTTGAATTGCCCCAGCCCCAGTAAAAACCAGGTTTATGTGAAATAGCTCTTTTTTTTAAATAATGGTTTTAGTATGCAATTATAGGTTTTAATTATGTATTAGTGTTCATTTAAAATAAATCAAACTCCCAAAAAAACGTATACAGCTTCTGTGTGCTTTTATTAACATTGGATTTTACTGTGTAAGTTGGCCGTGGGGGGGAAAGCTTTAGAGAGCTCTCTCCTTAAGACTTGAGAGGCTCTGATAACTTCAGCTCAGTGAGGTAAAGGCACACCTTGATACGATCATTACTAGTTATATAAAAATAAGAGAATAAATGAAAAACAGGTATAACATATACTATATGACAGTCAAAAGAAAGTTGTGTTATTTATATAAACAAGAATACAGTTTAAAAGGACAGTGATTTGAAAAAATATCCATAAAGAAAAAGATAATCTTGTTTACAGTTTCTTGTTTCATATCGTGTTGAGGATGTATCCATAGATCTTAATGTTGCTCTCAAGTGCTCCGTTGATGTGTGCCTGGCGTCACATACGTGGGACATCATTATTTTTGGTCCATATGACCACAATCAGTTAATCTGATTGAACTGGGCCTCATGGCCCGTATGTGGTACTTACACTGCCATTCTGGTGGTGTCAGAAGAGTACAAACACACTATTCAGTAAGTGCTGGCAATCACAAGGGATAATTCTAAGTGCCACTCCAATACCAAACCTCGACAAGGTAGAAGTCCTATCATTTTCAAGGCTTTCTGATTTGATTTGACAAGTAAGTTATACGTTTGTCATGCATGCAAATTTGACAAAAATGTTGTAAAATTAACAATTTGTTGGTATGTCCGCTCGTAACTGATGTACACGTAAGTGTATAGACTTAGTTGGTCGAAAATGCTATATGTTTTGTAAAAATTGCGCACAAGTAAAATTAGCTTATAGCAAAACTCTGGTGGGCAGCCTGAAC